TATTCAATTGAACAGACAACAACCTAGACAAAATTCCTGTAATACACACTCTATATAGAGCATTCAGTGCTACCTTCATTTTAGGGCATCCACCATGGATCTTAGAACAAATTCCCTACAGACAACTGTGTGAGCTGGGAAGCAATGTGAAGACACAGTGGCACTGTGAGCCAGCAGTGCTGAGAGCCACAGCTGGCAAAGGCTTAGCTAGGGTTCGCTTCTCAGCCGAGTGTCCAGCTCAAGACGGAGTTTCCTGACCTGCTGATGGATGGGGGTGAGGGTTGTGTGAACTGGACAGCACCATCCTGTGGAGAAGCCTCCCGCTGTCCCCTGGGGTAGTTTAAGCATCCCTGACATAGCCTGTTATACTTTCTCCCTCCCACTGCTGAGGACAACACCTCCAGAGGAGGACAAGTGGCACCTGGGAGAGTGGAAGCCAAAACAGGAACAAGGAGCTTGCCTTTCCTGCTTCCTGCTGCCCATGGCTGCCACAGGCTCCTCTTCAGCCCCTACCCCCAGCAGTGACGTGTACTGTGCTGGGCTGGCTGTGTGGGCAGGTGGTACACATCCCAGGGGCCCCATGCCCGCCTCCACTGCTGCATCATCAAACCTCCAGCAAAGAGGCTCACACAGCCTGAAGATGCTGTGTTTAGAGCAATGGCTCAGCTAATCTCCAAGGGAGGCAGAGCGAATCAGCACAGCAGGAGTGGGGTGAGCTCTGGAATGTTCCAGTGTGGTTCTTCCATGGGCATCTAGGGACAGATAGGAGGGTACAGGGGAGAGGGGGGGAAGGCTGGTCCAGTCAAACCACACCCTCTGATCTCCATGGTGAATGCTATAGAGACAGCCTGTGTCCCACAAGGCATCTCTCTACCCACCCTGCTCACTCTAGGTCCTGGGGTTACCCCCAGCCTGGCTCACAGCACTCATACCAGGATTACAGAGCTAGGCAGGCACAGCCAGGGGCAGACCTTGCCAGATCACTCTGAGGCTCAGTAACCCAGATACAGGTTCACCTAGGCTCCAGGTGGTCACTGAGATGCAAGCTGGTCAGGAACTGTCCCACGACCCCCTTTATCAGCTGGCCAGTTGCTCACATCTGGCTCAGACAGCTGGAAGTAGTTGAGCCTCCAGGGAGTGCCAGAACAGCATTCCTGACCCCAAATGAGCTGCACAAGGCGGCCTAAGTTCAGCCCTACAGGCCACTGCACCAGATCTGCCCTTACCCTGTGCTATGGTCTCTCTACCACAGGGCCTCCTGCACACTGCCCCAGGATGAACTCCTCCTCACGCCCCAGAGGGGGTGGGGGTGGCAGGCTCCCACCCATGGGACCTCACACCCGTTCACAACAACTGTCCCTGGATGAGCCATGTCTTGTCTTGTGTCCTCAAGGAACTGCTTTTCCAGGAGACAATCACAGGTAAGGACACAGAGCAGGAGGTGCCTCTCCAGTCACACTGGCTCCTCCGTCACAGTCAGGTGCCTGCCACCCTCAGAAGACCCAGCTCGAAGCCACAGCTATATGCAGAGCTTGGAGACCTCAGCCCCTGCGGCTCTCTTCCCTTTCCTAAGGGAAGGAAATAACCAATAAGTGTTGGAATCACCAACACTGCAGTCTTTCACTAGATCCTAAACTTGGATGTTCTCAGATTTCTCCAAAAGCCCATAGAATAGAGACACAATCCCTGACACACACAAAGAACACGGGCTGGCAAACCATTCTGTGAGGAAGACTCTGCACACACACAAGGGGCTCAGGAAGCCCATCGCACATCCTTATGTGTATTCCTGCGCTTGCTCACATACATGTGCATACACCCACACCGGGCTGGATGCACACACAAACACCCTTGAGATATTGACTCTCCCCTCTTGCCCCTTGCAGGAGGAAGTAGGCTGAAGTGTAGCTGGCTGTAGAGCATTACTTAGCACGTGTGAGAAAGGCCCTGGACTCTGTCCCCAGCAGCATTAAACATGGGTATTGGGAAACCAAGCATGGTGGCACACATCTCTCATCCCCACGCTGGAGGCAGAGGTCAGTGAGTTTGAGGTCAGCCAGGCCTTTACAGTGAGACCTTATTTTAAAAGGGAAGGAATAGGGGCCTGGGCACAGCTCAGTGGACGAGCACTTGTTAAACACACATGAGGCCCTGGGTTCAGTCTTCTCCACCACAGAAAACCAGGAGGAAAGACGTGGTGGTGCCAGTAGAGGGGAGCAGGCAGCAAGGCTCACTGCACTTCACCCTGCCCTTCCCTGCTCACCCTACAGTCTAGAGCCAACACAGCAGGAAAACCCCAGGGTCCCAGTCCTCCCCTGTGGCAGAGGGGAGTGAGAAAGGGAGGGGGAGGGGCAGGGAGACCAGGAGCCTGTCCCCACTCTCCCTTTACCCTGTTTCTGGCTCTGCAAACCTTCAGCTATGCCATCTGGTACCCCACCTCCTACTGACTCTGGTCACAAGAAACCTTTGACCACTACACCCTGGCCTGGGGCCAGAAGCATAATCTGGAAACAGGGGTGAGGTTCTGCTGCCTCTCTGTATGGTTATTTCCCAGCTGCCTGTGGGAGACCAGGGAGGGGAGAGCTCGGAAGACTTTAAAGGGAGCACTGGGGAGGCCGCGCTGATGTGATGGTTCAGGTGTGAGGCTGTGCCCCAATGGCAGGTGATAGAGGGAGCTCCCCAGCCACAGGCACAAGCCAGGCCCAGCACAAGAGACTCCAGAAGCCCTGGTACCAGCTCATCAACAATCTACAGGTACCAGTTCTACAAGGGAGACCCAGAAACTTCCCCAGCTATTACTCTGGCATGACTGGACAGTCACCTAATGGTACAACCTCCAGTTACCTGGGTCAGTTTCAAGCGGCCTCTCCAGCCTCCTGCTTGTGGCCTTCTTGGAGCAGCACTGGGACAAATCTTGGGACTCCTGCCCACGACTACATCCTCCCCACTTCTAGCTTTCCTTCCCCCTCTTCAGCAGTGTGAATGAGACTGTGTGCGCCAGATTGTACAGTAAGAACACACACACACACACACCGCCTGAACTGAGAACATCTCTGGGCTTGAGGGCTGCTCCCCAGGTCACCGCAGACTCTGACAGTGCCAGTTCCCCACGTGCGCTAAGGACTCTCCATGGTGGAGGTGTCCTGCCCACCATCCCATTGCTTCTCCCTATCCAGAGGGGGTACAGAGGTATGGTGAGCAGCAAAATGCCAACAGGGACCTTGAAGGAGTCCCCAGGTCCTTAGGCACCTCTCTGGAGGGAAGCGAAGAAGAGTCTCCTCCCTGAGAAGATGGAACACCGTAGCTTCAGGCTGAATGCGATATCTGAGTCCTTGGTGCAGTCTAGAGGACAGAGGTCCAGACAGAGGCAGAGTAGAGCAGCAGCAGGTGGAAGAGACAAGAGATGCAGGACACAGGGCCCCAGGAGCCCTGTTCACCTCTGCCCAAGGTGAGGGGACTCCTTGGAGCAGCCCAACCTGGCTCCACCTTCCCCAGCTGTCCCTGCTTCAGGGACTCTACCCCTTCACTCCTAAGTACAGTCTCACCTCAGTGATCTTGCTACCCACCCCTGACCCCATAACCTAGAGAGCAATGGTTAAGAGCATGAAGCACCAGACCAGTGCATCTGGGGAGGAATAAGAAATAGGTGTTGAGCCGGGCGGTGGTGGCACACGCCTTTAATCCCAGCACTTGGGCAGGCGGATCTCTGTGAGTTCGAGGACAGCCTGGTCTACAAGAGCTAGTTCCAGGACAGGCTCCAAAGCCACAGAGAAACCCTGTTTCAAAAAACCAAAAAAAAACCAAAAAAAAACCAAAAAAAAAAAAAAAAAAAAAAAGAAATAGGTGTTGGTGTGGGTGAAGAATTGCAATTGCTTATCGACCAATAGGGGCTCAAATCTCAGCAACTGCCCCGTGCCTATGGACTTAAACCCCTGTACTGTACACCCATAACCATTTGCCCTATTTTGTCTGCCAAGCATGCCAGCTTCAGGACAGCCCTCAGACTATCCTTAGTGCCCTGGGCCACCTGTCTTCCTTCTAGATCCTTCCGGCAGCTCCACAGTCGCCAGGTGCTCCATCCTAATGTCCCCAAAGAGTCAGGGCAGCTACTAGGCATGAGATGAACAAACAGATACCTACCACCTTGTTCAGTGAACAGCCAAAGAGGTACAGTGAAGGAGGCCACCACCTGGTTGGCCAGATCAACCCAATCTTCCTGCTGGACCGGCCAGGCAAGGAAGTGTCAATCACTCTGTCATTGTCCCCTACCCCCCATTCTAATACCCACTGCACCCCTAGGGCCACCCGATCACAAGCAGGTAGCACCGCCGGCCAGAAATGACTGGAGTCAGCCTCATTCATGACATACACATCTCCCGGGAGGGAGAGGCTCTGCAAAGGTGACAGGCTACAGCCCTTCTAACAGGTTGCTTCCAAAGCGAAACTCAACAAACTGTGCTGTCTCTTAAGATGAAGCAGGCCTGCGGGAGGTGCAGGGTGGTTCGAGCCCCATCCCAGTGGGTGACAGACCATCCCAGGAGTGGTGGAACCCAAAGTGTGGCCCAGCCTCTTCCTAGGTCCAAGCTCACTGGGTGGGCAGAGGCAGAACCTGGATTTCATCAGGGAATGTGCAATCACCCGCCAATGTGTCTACCAAAAGGCTGTCAGTGCTTCTGCAAGGCAGGATCCTCCCAGCTCAACATTTCACAGCCTCGGGGAGCCCCCGCCCACGGCTGGCCAGACAGCCGGAAGCAGCAGGGACTGAGTGCGCCACAGCCGGGTAGGGGGCTTCGTGCCACCTGCACCACCCTACTTGTAGGCTCCCCGGGGCACTCCACACCCCGACCTGCGTGCGCCAGGCTCTGCCCGCAGCTCACCCAGCTCTCACGGGGAACTGAGGGTGGCCGAAGTGGGGACCAAGGTCATCGGTCTGGGGAGGCTATGCTGCGATTCAGCAGACCCGACAGCAGCACGGGTTATATAAGAGGGAGAGCGCGTACCTGCAGCGGGAACATGGCCGCCCGATTGCCCACGTAGCCGCGGACGACATGGCTCTGGATGGAGAGCACCCGGCACTCGCCCTCCATGCCGGGCAGGCCGTGGTGGCGCGTGGCACAGGTGGTGACACAGAATCCGGCTACCCAGGCCGCACACTGGATCCCTGCTGCCGATTGCCTCCAGCACGCGCAGGCGCTGGGTTTGGACGCGATGCCCGCCTCCTCTGACCTCAACAGGCCCGCTGCTAACCCGCGAGTCCCGAGCGGCGAGGGGCGGGCTGGAGGCGGTCCTGCACGCAGGCCACGCCCCTCCGGGAAAAGGGGACTTGTGGAATTGATCTGGACGGGATCTTCTGTGCTGCAGCACGTGATCGGTCATCCTTTCTGCAGACTTGAGCCTGCACTAGCCAGCACACCTGAGACACACCCTCCAGTCCATTCCGCCTCATTAGCCTGCGGCACTGATTACCCCCTGGGTGGCACTCCTGGGAACTGCTGTCCAAAGAGCTCCCACCGAGCTCTAGCGCCCTAAGACTCAGAGATCCCTACTGCCACGTGGCCTGCATGGACTCCCAGACCCAGTAAGGCGTGTGCGGGACTGTTTGACCTCAAGCTGCCCCGGAACTGAGCCACATGTCCCTTCCCAAAATCCCAGCCAGCCCAAGGCTCAAATCCACCTTCTCAGAACCACTCCTGGGGACAGACTTGCTGCTGCTGCTGCTGCACTGGCTCTCCTCTTCAGCCCCACGCAGCACTCTCAGTCCTGGGGAAAGCGAACCTCTCTCCTGTGTCCCATCTTCAGACGGAGCACTTTGGAGCGCCTGTGGTCGGTCACACATTCCAGGTTCACAGACTGGTGGCAGAGACCAGCATGTCAAATTTGCAGTATCTTAGTGAGAGAGTCCTGGGGTACCAGGTCTGCTCTGAGGAGAAGGGAAGGACCCCTATTATTTAGGGAACAGATCAGAAAGAGGAAGTGGGGACTGAGGTTCAGCTGGCGGAGTGCATGCCAAGGCCCTAGCTTTAATTCCAGCACCAGAAAAAGAGTGAACAGAAAGAGGAACACATTGTAAGAAACGCTTGATTGGATTAAGTGGAGTACATTGTAGGAATAATTAAGTGTTTACTGATGAAAGTATTTACTGAACATTTGGTGTGTATTAAACATTTCTTTCTTTTTTTCTTTCTTTCTTTCTTTCTTTCTTTCTTTCTTTCTTTCTTTCTTTCTTTGTTTTTTCTCTGTAACAATCCTGGAACTTGCTCTGTAGACCAGGCTGGCCTTGAATTCACAGAGATCTGTCTTCCCAAGTCTGCTTCCCAAGTGCTGGGACTAAAGGCGTGTGCCACCACCATCCATCTAAACATTTCTTGTAACACACTGAATCTTGCCAAGAGCAACAGATGCACCTATAATCCTTGCACGCACACGTGCATAGGCGTCCGTGCATGTGTGTGTGTCTGTGTGTGTCTGTGTGTCTGTTTGCTTTTTCAAGACATGGTTTCATGGTGTCTCACTGCCAGGCTCAAAACTTACAGATATCCACCTGCCTTTGATTCCTGGGATTAAAGGTGTGTGCCACCACACCTGGATCTGCCTTAGTGTATGTATGTATGTATGAGTGTAGATATCCTCTAGTTTACTCTTAGTCTAGGCTGTCTGGCTGTGAATCCCCAGGGATTCACCTGCTTCTACTTCCCCAGTGCTGGGATTACAAATCCTAATTTTTTTAGGCAAGGATCTCACTATGTAGCCCTTGCTGGACTGCAATTTGCTGTGTAGGCTAGGTTACCTGTCTCTGCCACCTGGGTACTGGGATTAGAAGGGTATGCCGCTATGCATTTACATTTTACTTATTAATTTAATGTGTGTGTGTATGTGTGTGGAGAGAGAGAGAGAGAGAGAGCATGCACACACATGCCACAGTGTACATGTGGTATCAGAAGACGACTTGCAGAATTCCTTCTCTCCATCCACCATGTGGATTCCAAGAATCTAATTACACTGGCAAGTTCTTTGGCCTATTGAACCAACTACATACTCCAGATTACAAGATCTTTAACCTTTAATGTCTTAATGACTCAGGTGTGGTTTTCTTGTTTAGAATACCGGCTGAGGGAAGGTTAGCAAAAGAAACTCAAGGACAACTCTTGAAGGGTGGCCATTGTCACTGTTGAAGAAAAATAAAAGGTTGCCCGGAGCTGATGGGTCTTTGTGGCCCCCTAGCCCAGGGAACTGTGAGATTGTCTCTATGCAACTCTGAGATTCTGGTCTGCAGGACACCTTCAGATGGGCAGTTTGTGGAGACCAGAGCCAAGCTTTAGTTTTTGTGCACAGGTTTTTCTCCTCTGTGGGTCTTTTGAGGATTTGGGAATCAAATACGGACAGCAGCTTCCTGGCACAGAGCCCCTGAGAGCAAGCGCTCCTCCTCAGGGGTTGTGGTTCCTTCCTTTTCTCTTTCTGCCCACGGAGCATGGAACCGCCTCAGGCCTTTGCCACACTGCGTTGAGCCTTCTCTGGAGTGACGTGCACCTGAGTGTGCCCAGACCACAGTGGGACTTCTGGAGACCACAGATCAGATAGTGTATCCCTCTCAGTCTCCAAACAGAGTCTCTTTAGCCAGGAAGTAGTACCTGCTCCGCCCCGTGTGTCTTAGGACATTCCTTGGTAGGTTGAGTTGGTCTGTGGCAGAATCTCCCCGTAAAATCCAGGCAGGTTTCAAATTTAGACCCCTGCTCAGCCTCCACAGTTTGGAAATGATAGCCATGGACCAAGGTTCCCAGACATAATCTTTTGCTGCGTCTGACTGACTTTATAGCACACTGGGTGGACTCTGGCAGCCCTGGGGAGGATATGGCAGGGATCATGACCCTTCTGTGGCAAGTGCCTTGCCTATGGGCTGGTTACCATGGTGCCTGCAGCCTTAGCCCCCCATTTTTCTCAGGAAGCTAGTCTAGAAAAGGCCTTTACTTTCAGTTCTAGGTGAGAGAAGCTCCCAATACACAGACACACGGACACACACACACACACACACACACACACACACACACACCCTGCCAGCGTCAGGCTGTGGCTCCAGACAGCTGGAGAGGCAACCCCGGCAGTTCACAGCGGCTCTCAGTGACACGGGCCATTATGTTCTCTAGGAACACACCAAGGAGCCTACCCTCACCCAGTCAGGACACTGAGCCAGACACCATGGGGACACAGCACATCCCAGCAAGGCATCATTGCCACAGCGCTCCTGCAGCCTGGCAAGCGCAAACTGGCAACTGACTTCTGTCTGAAGCTGCGGCTACAGCGAGAGCCTCTGAGGTCAGGACAGCCTGAGTCTGCAGCCGAGAGACTGGTTTACACAGCTGATGTCGAGAGCCTTAGAGGGGATGTTGTTATTTTACCAACTCCCCAGCTAAATACCGTGTCTCCATAAATGAAACCTGAGCCAAGCCAAAGTTTTGTTTCAAAGCACAATACAGCTGAGTCTGTGGTCCCAGCACTAGGGAGGCTAAGGCCGAAGGATCTCAAGTTCAGGTTAGCCCAGGCTACCTCGGGAGAACTTGTTTCTATAAACAAAATGAAAAAAAAAAAACAAACAAACTCAAAGCTAGAGGAAGAAAAGTAACCAGATTTGTCTTTTCTGAGGCTGCAAATGTTGCCAGAACCTATGCCATGATCTCCTGTCCTCCTAGAGACTCCTTGGGACGGAGCAGGCCACCTCTGAGGCAGGAGAACACTCGGCTCCCATGAAGCTTTTGGCCAGCAGGCATGGTGACGTGTGGCAAACAACTGGGTACAAAGACACAGACCTGTATCTCTGTGCCGCATGAGACTGAGGCAGGAGAATCCCTGAACCAACCTGGGCAACACTGTTAGATTATCTTGAAGGGCAATGACAGGAGGGTAAGAGAAGGAAATTGGCAAACTATGTTAATTGAATTTATTCATTCAATTTATATATATATATAATTCGACATGTGACCGGTATAAAAAATTGAGGTCATGTGTAGTCATTTTCCCGTTGTCTCAGCCATATATATTTTGCATCCTTGACATGTTTCACAGGGAAACAATCCACCTGTGGCTCAGTCTGTGATAAAGACTGAGGCTGTTCCACACCCAGAGGTGAAAGGATGTTTACCCCGAGGCAAGGTGTGGTAGGGACAGAGGATCCCTGAGGCAGCAAGAGGTGCAGAGCTGGTAACAGGCATAAAGCCTGAGTGTGGCTGGGGACAGAAGGGCCGACCGGGTGCCCTCCACTCAGGACGGGTGTGGAGACCTGTGGGAACCTTGGTGGTGGCCTCTGAGGAAGGATAGGGTCAAGGGAGAGGAGGCAATGGGTGGGCCCCAGCTGGAGGAACACTGGACTTGAGTCTCCAGGAAAGCAGGGGGGTAGGACTGGCCTCTGTTGGCAGAAGAGGTGACAAGGGAGAGTGAGGATGGAAGAAAAGTCACCATCAATGTATCCTCCACTCCATCGCTTTATATTTCTGGTCCTGACAATGCCATGGGTCACCTGATCTTCCAAAAGGAGCTGGGTCTGATGACCTAAACCTATCATCTCAGACTCAGGATCTGAGGCAGAAGTCTTCCCATGAATTCCAGGCTGGTCTGGTCTACAGAGGAAGACCTAGTCTTCAGAAAAGAAAGAGAAGGGGGAAGGAGGAGGGAGGGTGGGGAGAAAGGTGGGTGGAAGGCCAAAGAGGGAAGGAGAGAAGAATGAGCAGCTGGGAGTAGACAGCCTTTGCCCTCCCCTTTTAGCCAGGTGGACCTCCTAGATGTCCCGAGCCCCCTTCTGCATGTGGTGGATAGCTCTCAAGGGGACTTTAGGTATTCTGTGGGGTAATTCTCTTATATACTGTAAAGATTTGTCACGTCTATTGTTTTAATAAAATGCTGATTGGCCAGTAGCCAGGCAACTAATATAGGTGGGGCAACCAGACTAGAATTCTGGGAAGAGAAAAGGCAGAGATGCAGTCATCATCCAGACACAGAGGAAGCAAGTTAGAAATGCCTTTCTGAGAACAGGTACCAAGCCACGTGGCTAAACATAGGTAAGAATTATGGGTTAATTTAAGTTGTAAGAGCTAGTTAGTAATAAGCCTGAGCAATAGGCCAAACCGTTTATAATTAATATAAGCCTCTGTATGTGAGACTGAACAGCTGCGGGACTGGGCAGCACAGGAACTTCTGTCTACAGAGAGTTGTCTTAGTTAGGGTTTCTATTGCTGTGAAAAGATAC